ACCAAAGAATTGCAAGCCTGTCTAAAATCTTCCCCACCTTGATGCTTTACAAACTTTGGGAGGATGGAAAAGTGGATTCCTTGGATGACCTTCTGGGGAAGTATGTTAAGAGCTTCACCATAAAAAACCCTCTGGGGAAAAGAAGGGTTCATGACCTCAAGTCCATCGACGGCATGAGCAGTAGAGAGGCTCGAGTCCATGTCTCCTCAGTTACCCTGAGAAGGATGGCCAGTCAGCTGTCAGGTGAGGACCACAGTATCTGTAACTGACCTCAACGTGGTGTTTAGATCAGTAAGAGATGATTAGCATGTATATAAATTAGGGCTGTAAAAATAAAGAAGTTGAAACCTGTAATTAGATCAACTGTTTTTAGGAGTTTCCACGGCTACCCTAATCAGCTCTATTGCCTGACATGACTTGGGTTTGCCTCTAGTCTAGGATTAGACACAAAGGAATGGCCATAACATACTGGACTCAGCTTACCCCATGCTCATGCTGATGTTCTTATAATGTGCCAAAAATAGTGGTGCGGATTATTTTGGTACACTTAACTGCATTCAGAAATAGCCTTTAAGTTGATTTAACAGGAAATTTACATTGGAATATTTTTCTGGCATTAGAAATCAGTATGTAATGAAAAACCATCTGCCTTTGAGATATTGAATACAGTATTGAATAATGCAAACAAATAAAATCAGATTAATATATATATTAATCTGATTTTATTTGTTTGCATTATTCAATACCGGACACATCAACCTATATTTGATATTTAATTGAACATGCTTATATCCCCTTCCATTTACATTAGTTTTGCTGTTCACTTAATCTTTAAAAACATTAAGAATTTAATGACACTTTTAAATCTTTATCAAATATATCAATTTTTCATAATGCACATTATTGTAGTGGTTTAGCACTCAAAATGACTGGTTTTTAGTTTTTAGTGTTTCAATTTTTTATTTCATTGAGACAAAATAGTATGTATTTTTAATATCTGGTATTTTTTGGTTATCAGCCATAACATGAAAATAATCAGCTTGAAAATGAATATTAATGCCTCAATCATATAGGTCCTCAATCATTTTACTTTTAAATGGCAAACTGGTAACATTATATATCAAATAAATGAAAATGTGAAAAACTGGATATTTCGGATTCATTTTTGACTATAGGTTTACCCAGGCGGCTCAGGGCAACTACTTTACTGTGGAAAGGCAACACTCAGGCTACTGTGGGTTTATTACAAGATGATGTTCTCGTGGCTGACCCTGGAACAAAGTAAGCTAGTACAAGTATATTTTCCTCTTCAAACTTGTATTGAGAGGATGTTTAATGAATGAAAGGAGGTGTAAATAATTGATGACAGCAGATGCAATGAATGCACTTGTGGCTTCTCCCTGGAGGAAGTAATTCTAGCCCTCTGCTGTCCTCAGATGCCACTACAGCAACCTGGCCTTCTCCCTGCTGGCCCACGTGATGGCAGAGAAGGTAGCGGGGATGGATTATCAGTGATGGGTGTCTGAAAATATCCTACAGCCGCTTAGAATGGAGGACACTGGATTTGAAATCACCTCTCAAATAACGAACCGGATGGCGATAGGAGTTTACTCAAGCGGGCGTCCCGCACACCTCTATGACCTTGGCTGGTATAGACCATCAGGGCAAATGTACTCCACACCTGCAGACATGGCCAAACTGGTGATGATGCTTCTGGGCGCATACTCCTGCCCGGTTCTCCAGCCTGACACCCTCAAAACCATGTTAACTCATCTGTTTCGCTGTGAAAATAGTTACTTTGCAGATCAAACTGGCACACCGTGGGAGGTAAAAGAACAGTTGGACTATGACGTAATCCGCAAAGATGGACATTTAGATGGTTACTCGGCCTCAATCTCCCTTGTTCGTCGCTTGAAGCTCGGGTCGGTCCTCCTAATGGCTGGAACCAAACCTGAAGATGAGGATCTTGTGGCTAAAGTCTACAGTTCACTCATCCCTGCCATGGAAAGTGCCTTCAGAGATGCACCTCATGTTCTCATCCCTCCTCCGGACCCTGTTCCCTACATTGGTTACTTTACTTATAACAACATAATGTTCTATGAGATCAAAGCAGATGCAGATGGAGTGCTGTCTCTGGAGCAGACTGGACCTCAAGTCGACATCATGGTTTCCATGAAGTACAGAAGTTTGAAACTCAGTTATCTGCAGGATAGGGTGTTCAGGGTGGTGTTCGAGAAGGAGTACCCCTGTCAGCTGAAAGTTAACGCTGCTTCTGTGTCTCTTGAATCTCAGGATGGGCAGCTTTTTAACTTTTACATCTTTAACAAAAAGGGGCTCTCACCAGGTTTTGACGTCCCAGGGTTAAACACTTATGAAGTCACACGGATACCTCGCAAACCGATTTTCAGTGGATGAAGAAATCATTTGATCATGCTTTTGAGTTGTAAAGCTTAAAGGTGCTCTCTTTGATGAAAGTATCAAATTCTGAGGAACTTCAGCCTCTGCTTAAGTACATGTTACTAAACGTGTCTCAAGATAAGGGCTGAACGTATATGTAGAATACTTATTTCTTATTTTTATTTTGACCATTTTGAAAAAAAATTTTTTATCTTGCTGCTTGATTGTTTTCCCTTTTTTCAGAGGAATATCACTGCATCAACCATCCATTCATTTATGTGTGTTTCTGAGAAGCTTGAACTGCATGTCTTAATTAAAAGTAAAGTGTGTGCCTTTCCTAAGCATTTGCACCTGTACATCAGTTTCCAAAGTACCCAATTTTGTGTGACCTTGATTAGTACATTGCTGTGTTTTTAATTGAGTTTAGCTAGAGGTAGTTTCAGCATATTTCAACTCTAATACTAATACATTGGTTTAAACATTTTATTTGACTTAAATACAAACCAGTGTAAAGGCCTGTTCACACCTTGATAATTATAACAATAACTATAACGTTTTTGAGCATTCTAATTCTATGAGAACAGGGAAATCCATAACACACACACACACACACACACACAAAAGATATTGACACTGAGAAACAATATCATTGGAATCACTTTCAGAACTACTTTTCCCAGCTGATGAACACTAAAAACATCGACAACCAATCAGAATCCACCTGACTCTAGCATTTAAAGATGACAAAACTGCAGCGTGTGATTAATGGAATGTTATTGTGAGTTGATGTGGACGCTAATAGTTATATTTTTCTTTATAGTTATTGTTCTTGGTGTGAACAGGTGTCATTTTAGCATCTTGATTTTTATCGATAATGTAAATGTTGCTTTTTTAAATCTATATACTCTTACACAGTACTGTATCTGCACTAACCTAAACAAATAAAATACATATTCTTAACAATATATGTATATATATATACATAAAATTTTATATAAAATGTGGGACGCTACATGTGTTTTGATTGTACCAGTAAATTTGTATTCTCCAAGAACTGAGATGTTAATGTAATAATAGTCAAATATTATTTAAACTGAACATTTAAACATTAAGAGAACATTTTCATAATGTTTCATAATTTAATGGGGACATAAGCAAAACATTATTAGAAAATAGAATCATTGTTGCACTGTACAATGTAGGAAAACAGGATATACTTTAGAAATGAATTGTGACTTACCAATTGAAAATGCATTTAGTTGTGCACACAAAGTCCATCAAAGTCCTGAACATTTGAGCTAACACATGGTCTTGCTGAGATAAACACTAGCTCTAATCCGCTGTCGTTGCTGTGTTGTTTCTTGGGGATCAAGACTTACTGGATCAAGGATACTGAATTCAAGCTGAAAATCAAGCTGTACATCACTGTTGACCTACAAATCTCCAAAAATCAATATGTTAGAGGATAGTTCTCAAGTAACCATAAACTGAGCAACCGAAAAATAAGTGACTTGGAATATTGTACTTTATCTTTCTGTTATCCAGCACAATAAAAGTGTATAAAATTGTAAATCATCTTACAATTTATGATAACAAAGGATGCAGTGTCACTTTTAAAATATTTCAAATCAGGGTGAAAATAAAAGAAACAAACACTTTAGACTGAGCACAGAAGTACATTCAATGATTCAAAATTATTGGAAAAAAAAAGAAAAAGAAAAAAAAAACATTGTTACCAGTCATCCTCCTCATCCTTAAGACATTCTTCTCTTAAGATGTTCAAGTAAATGTTTTTCATCTTGTTTCTGGAATCCTCCAGCAATTACATGTACCATGTAAGATTCGAAAAAAGTAAGGAATAGCTTTAACATTAATACATTTATACTAATATATAGGCTATAATTGATTGTGATTGAGTTTACTTTCTCTACCGCACTGCGGTGAATCAACAACTGGCAGACGATCTGAACGAATTCTACTGCAGGTTTGAAAAGACACCCCACACCCGCCCTGAACACCTCTCCACACAACCATTCACACCTCCAGCAACCCCGCTCCCCCACACCTGCAATTCAGATCAGTGAAGACGAGGTGCGCCAGGTCTTCCGGAAGCAGAAAACATACCTGGCAATAAAGCTCATTCTGATAAAGCTCATTCTGATTCTCTATGGAGTCATTCAGGCTATTCCTTTTATGGATACAAATGTGTTGAAAGTGTGCGTTTAGTTATAAGAGAGCATTTTTAATTTATAAATTATTACTACATTATGATAATTATACTGCATATATAGAGGCTAGGCTATATGTCAGTCTCCGGAGTTTTTCGCATTTCTCATGAGCTGAACTGCGCCTTCAGCTGTGGACGCAAGATGTCACTGTAACATCACAAATCGGGGCCAAACCGCTCCATAAACACGGAAAGGTTTGCATATTTGATATATATGCAGCGATGGCATTTAAATCGCTTTTTTTTATATCTAAAGCCATTATTTTTGGCTGTTACAGCGTTTATTACTATACTCTTGGCTGACATCCAAGTAGGTTATGAGTTCCGAATAGCGCATTCCGTACTCTACTCGTTGCAAATTCCACTCGCCGAAGTGACACGAAAACACCCGAAGTAAAACGAAAGGTCGGTCCTGTAGGACTGCCGGAGGCGGCCACAGCGCCATGTTGAACGGAATCATCACACTCTGTGGAGATACTCTCGTCAAAGAGCAGTTGTAAACAAAGTGTTTTTCATTTTCCAAAGGGGGCTCACCTGTCAAGATCGCCCTGGCAAGAAGAGGCCAACTAGATCCTCGGAAACCCCGGCCGGGGAGGGGGAACAGCCCCCCAACCGTCAGCAATGAAGATAAACCAAAATAAGCACTAGCTGGCTAACTTTAGCCTGCTATTCTATAAATAAGCTAGCTATCCTGTTAGCTCAAGCTTTTCTATCCGCTCAGACACCGGCAACCTGCTCCTAAAGGCCCGGTGTTGACGTAACTCGCCAGCAATATTTTTTTTACGTGCACAGTTTAGCCGCTAGATAATTTATTATTGTAAATATCTGTAAAACCGTGCGTTTGTTTTGTTTTTGTTTTTATTTGCGATGAGTTTGCCGCCGAAACCAGCCGCTGCCGTCGCCGCTGGAACTGGACCTGGAACCGGGCCGTCACCCTCGAGTCAGCTGCGGGCCACCCTGACCCCAGTGCCGCTACCGCCGGGGACACCGGTGGCTCAACAGCCGCCGACACAGTATCCTTCTCTGAAAGCATCTTCCTCCATCACAAATCTGTATCTGTGGTTGTGTTTCAAAACCTAGTGAACTGCCTACCTGGACAGCATCTTTATTTCGATTAGGTGCGCATGTGATGCCCGAACCTGCTGTCTAGGCAGGCGGGCCACAAGGTTTTGACAGCGCTTGAGTGTGTTGCACTGTGTACCGGCTAACAGAATGTCAGCACCGCAGAACTATATGTTTGGTTTGATTTGGTTGTGGCTTAAATCCGGTGTTGTTTCTTACCATGGAGGTGCTAGTAGTGTAGTAATAAAACCGGAGGTGCTAGTAGTGTAGTTACAGTGTTTATGTGGCTGTCAAAAGCCGAGCTGTCAACCCGCAGCCGGTTTGGGCTGATCCAGCCGGGCCGGCGTGGCAGTGCTAAAGCTAGCTCTCTAGCTAGTCTTGCTTGAGAAATAAGATAGCGCATTTAAATTATATTTAAATAATTGTCATGATTTACTCACTCTTTATGTTGTTATAAACCAGTGATTGAATTTCCACAGCGAAACACGTAAGAAATGTTAGTCAACATGACAGCCTCTGTCACCATTCACTTTCATTGCATCTGTTTCAACACACTGACAGTGAATGGTAACTGACTGAAACTCATTCTGACTAAAAATCTCATGAGGGTTAGTCAGTTATGATATATTTATTTATTTATTTGGATGAACTGTCCCTTTAAGCCAAGACACCATATGTGAATTGGGTAAACTAGGTATCACCATACTTGTCTTGTTGATTAATTACAGCGTATTAAGAAGACACAGTACATGTTTGGTTTTACACATTTTCTGAAATGTTGTTTCATTATGCAGATGAGGCATTTAATTAAAGCCAAGATCAAAATTCTTTCGTCATTTTGTTGACGTATTAGAAGGTGTTTGGTGTATCTCTTATCACTCAGAAAATAAATCAGACCATGTTATATAAATCAGGCAAATGATATACGAACTCCTCTATAAGAACCTTCAGAATATAGATAGGAATAAAACTGTGAAGTTTGGTGCATATAAGTACTCCTGAGGTGTAGATTTGTGGTTCAGTGCATGAGATTATTATTATTTATTTATTTTTTTTTTTTTTTGAGAAAACTGCCTTTAAATATTATCATGCATTTAAATGCTTGTTATTATGCGTATTTAGTGCAATTTGGGTGAAGTGTATAGTGTATACTTAAATGTTTATTTTGGAGGGGTTTTCCCATTAGTCTGAAAGAAGACACCTTTTGTATGCAAAATATCCCAAAATCTCAAACTTGACAAGTGCATAAAAAAACAATGGCCTGTAGTGTCTTGCCTTAAAGGGGTCTTTCACCCAAAAAATGAAAATGATGTCATCCGTTTGGTTACCAACATTTCTCAGCATGTAGTCTTTTGTGTTCAACAGAAGACACACTCATACAGGTTTGGAACAACTTGAGGGTAAGTAAATGATGACATATTTTTCATTTTTGGGTGAACTAAAACATTTAAGATTATTTCACATCTTGGTAAGCCGTATGAAGGCAATGCTGCACAGATATACCACTTATATTTCTTCCTGACAGTAAGGTTGGGTGGAATAAACAGTGTTCAGGTTATGTTTTCCCACAGAGATAAACTGTCATACTTTTGCTTGCCTTCAATGTCTTGTTGATATTTCTTTATGGCTCTAATTTAAGCTTAACGCCCTTCTGTTATAACTGTCCGTGCCCCTCTGTCAGCATCTTGGTTGCTGGACAAACTAGCTGCTGTTTGACTGTGTGGGTTAAGGGTTTACAGGGTAGTTTTTGCATATCTGACTTCTACTATAACTTCCACTTGTCATCATAAGCAAGTAAATATCTTGACATGTTGGTATGGCATTTGCAGTGAGTCACTTAAATCGATGTAATTGTTTTTGGGAGTTGAAATAACAGGGCTAAAGACTAAATTAGAATATGTGTACATGGGAAAATAGTGCTAACAATGCATAATAATACAGTCAGAGACAATGATGGCTTTCTCTAGGGTTTTTTAATTATTGTGGAAGATTCCCCAAACGCATTTACAGTTAATGCTTTCTGTTTCTTTTTTTAACTATGTAAAATGCATCCCCAATGGACTGGTTTCATTTCATACTTGCAAATATTTCCTAGCTGAGAATTATCTGCTACAAATTCTTGCATGAGATCAACCTAAGCATTAGTTGCTCTTTATAACAACATGTTGGTTTATATTTGGATTTATTTTCATATAGCACTCTGATTTAGGCAGGAGGTGTATTTAGACCATGATGCACTGCATAGCTTTTTAGAATGAAACACTTTTAAAGTGTTTAAAGCAATTGAGGATCATTTTAAAATGGAACACATAGAAAACAACTGTGTATGCTGTGTCATCGCAAATGTATATCTTAGTAAATGAGACTGTAGCACTAAAAATAATCTGTAACCTACAAACCAGTTGAAACTGTGACTGTAAAAGGGTGACATGGTTTTGAGCTTGAGATTACTGTGAAAGTTTCATGGCAGGGTGCCAAGGGAAAGTTAAAATGAGCAACTAACAACTGTTGTTTTACCCCGGTTACAGTAAACTGTACATTATCTCTGTTTGAACTCTCTCTGTGTGTATGTGCCTGTGGCGCAGTGGAGGAGGAAGGGTTTCCCCGCCCTCTTAACAATAGCCTGGTTGTGCAGACAGAACTGAGGGCTGGAGATGGAAGACGCATCTCCATCCTCTGTACTCCAGCAGCATGTTAATACACAATCAGCTTCTTGTGTATGACAACCTTGTTGCAAAGGATGATGATTTTTACTTGTGCGAGAACCTCTTTTCTTTAAGGGATCGCACAGTATTGCTCCATCATTCAAAAGACAATGTTTATTCAGTAATGTGAAGTATGGTTGATACATGGAGGAATTTCGAGGACAGTTATGTAAAGTTTGAATTGTTTTTCCAGTGTGGCTGGAGGTTGTTAACTCTGATGGGAGCTGGCATGTCTTGACAACAATGTGAATTCCAGTTTGTGCCACTCAGCCCCTGTGTGCCGAACCCCAGGCCAGCTTATTAGAGGAACAGGGAAACACTACAGAATGAGTTAGAGTAGAAAAAAACAAGTTTCTTTCAGAATGTTCCCTTCTTTTAAATACACATGTGGAAAGGAGAGCAAGGCTTGACAATAAGGGTTTCACAGGGCCAGTGTGAGAGAGTTTCAGGTCAGTTGATGGCTAGATATTGGACCCAGAACTGGGTTGTCATTACGTTTGTTGATTGTGTATGTGTTTTTTAAGCCCTGCAAACCTAAATGTTTGTACTTCTGTGATGTATTGGATATTGTTGTTTAAGATATTTACAAGGTACACATTTGATTAGTTCATGCTTTCCTTAGGAATCAAACCTGTGACCTCGGTGTTGCTAGCTAAATGGTTTACTGTTTGAGCAACAGGAATGTGTCACTTATACTAATTTAAATATCAAAATATATTTAAATCAGCAAAATTAAATCATGATAAAAATTTGAGTAAAATATATATATATTCTATTGATATTACGTGTTAATTAAAATTATATTTAAAAAGCATATAATCAGCATATTTAAATAAAATATCCAAAGTGAAGTTATCTATCTGTATAGATGGTTTGTTATAGCTATCATTTAGAATGTGTTGAAAGTGAGAAATGTCCTCTTTCTGTATAGTGTAACTGTATATTTCTAGCTGTTAGTGCTTAAAATTGTTTTAAATTGCTGTAACGTTTTGTAAAGAAAATTTAAATATGTATTTCTTTATGATACATACACAACAGTTCAAATGTTTGGGGTCTGTAAGTTTTTTTTTTTTAAAGAAGTTAATACTTTTATTCGGTAAGGATGCATTACATTGATAAAAAATGACAGTAAAAACTTGAACATTGTTACAAACAAATTAAAAAAATATTTTAAATAAATGCTGTTCTTTAGAACTTTCTAATTGTCAAAGAATCCTGAAAAAAATTCATCAATGCATCATGGTTTCCACAAAAATATTAAGCAGCACAATTGTTTTTAACATTGATAACAATATGAAATGTTTTTGCACCAAATCAGCATATTAGAATGATTTCTGATGCTGACGACTGGAGTAATGATGCTAAAAATTAATCTATGCCATCACAGGAATACATTTTAAAATTGTAAAAAAGAAAACAGTTATTTTAAACTGCAATAATATTTTGCAGTATTACTGTATTGTTGATCAAATAAATGCAGCTTGAGTGAAAATAAAAGACTTCTTTAAAAAAATGATAATAATAAAATCTTACCAACCCCAAAACATTACATGGTAGTGTGCGTTGCTAAAAAAAACAACCTGACCATCTGGCCCAATTGGGCCAGCGGAAGAAAAATGCAGAGAGAATTAATTGTATATAACTAGTAAAACAAACTATTTGCATGTGGATAAATGTTATCTGCTTGATTCTGTCAGCTCTTTTCATTCTAATGTCACTACTACAGTTTCCTTCATGCATCATGTGTGTTTTCCCACCTTGTTGCTGTGTTTGGCCTTAAGTACTTTCTGCCCCAGAGTTTTCCTTAATATCTCCTCTAGGTTCCCAAGAGTGCCCCTGGAAGAGCGAATCTTCTCCACACAGCCCGTCACTGCTGTCTACAGTGTGAGTTGAACACTCCATTCTCTTCGCTGACTTTCACATCTAGATATGAATCTGTCATCATGGTGGCTTCACCTTAGATGATCTGAGGACTGCCCCTTTTGCTACAGTCATTTTAAAGGGGTCATGACATGTTTTTTATTTTTTATTTTATTGTGTTCCCTGAGGTGTAATTATAACATTACTAAAGTTTTTTGGACGAAAAACATTCAAATTTGAGTGATTTATGATCCAAATTTATGATCCACCCTGCTCCTCATCCTCTGACTGAAACAGTTGGTTTTCCTTTTAAGAGCTCAGTGTAACCGCCCACTTTTATGATTGGCTAACATCCGTTACCATTTTAAAAATAGTTTTTACATGAAATACGTTATTTACAGTTTGCTGCGTCGTTGTTGGGTCCAGAAGAGTTGGCTCGGCCTGATCTTTGAGCAGAAGTATTTTGGCAAAGCCAGCATCATACTGCGAATTGTTCTCAAAACAGTCAATGGTGAAATGTACTGAACACACTCACGTAAATTAGCACTGACGTGACTGGGACGTTCACTAAAAATAAACTGAATTAGTTTTTTTCTGATGTTGGGAACCTTCGGCAGCGTATACAAAAATTTAGTTTTTCCACAGCCAGGAACGACACGTCATCTGCCTGGCATTGCAATCTTATTGTAAAAAAACTACTCCTTTGGGTGTGACAACGATGCAATGATGCAAAAATAGGCATAGTTGTCTTGCTCTGGAGGCGGTCATATGCAAACGACTGTGCCCAGTTGACGTCACCTTGTCCCTCTGATCCAAAACGAGATGTTTTCTGAGGGTTATTACATAAATATATAGTTCAGTCATGAAACTCTAGATGGCGCATTCTGACGGAGTGTTAACGTAACTGATGATATTCAGAGAGTTTAACGACTTGGCACAAGCTGATTGGTTCATGCTGCATATGCAGCCAATGAGCTTACTGCCTTGCATT